TTCAAATTTAGGTTATATGCACAGATGAGGTCGTCTTGGAAAGCCACAAATTTGATACATCAAATCGGCCATTTGTGCAAAGGTAGCAGCAATGGAAGAAAGCGAGGTCTAACCTTACCAAAATGGTTTTGGCGCACAGGGGAGAGATGGAAAAGGAAGAAGAAAACTGTTAGAGAGGAAAGAAGGGTCTGGACTTACCAAAACCGGTTTTGGCGCACAGGGGAGCTGCTGGAAAAGGATAGAGAAGATGACTGGCGCACAAGGGAGCTACCGGAAGAGGACTTTAACCATTGAAATTAAAGTCAATGCATTAACAAGTTGTACATTATGCTTTATAACTTGTTATTAAGAGTTTTTTGAAATCTATGCATAAAATGGTAGTACTTTGTGTTTTATGGTTTGTAATTAAGACATGAGTCTAAATGCTTATTAATGTAGTGTAATGCTCTCAATCATAAAAAACTCTTCTTTCACAATGAGATAAATGATATGTACACAACACCTCATGTAAAAAAAACCTACCCTTTAAAATTAATAAGGAGTAAAAGTATCTAAGAGCTTGTTGACCACAAAATCAGTTGTTGAACAATTGTTAATTGTCAATTGTCAACGTTGACAATTAGTTATCAATGTTCCAATCTGTAAAACATTCAACCATAACTTGGGACAATGCATCAATAGTGTGTTGAGGTGGCACATGTATAAAATTGCATCAAAAAATATATTAAAAATTAACATTATAGATTTTAATATTGAATTATAAAAATTTAAAGAATAGTAAAACGAGAAATAACCTGATAATCCGATTTTGTATCCTCTAGTTGGCATCTATGTAGTTTGTTGTTAGTGTCATATAACATTTCTTTTGGTTACTTGTTTTCTACATATCCGAAGTAAGAGCAATCTTGCTTTCGTTTTCTTCCAAACATCGCAATGTTAACCTTTAACCTTTTTTTTTTGTTTCATATATCTTCATGATGTCAATCTTGATTGTAGCTTTATAAGACACCTTAAATAAAGGTTGAAGATGGTCAAGATCAAATTTGAGAAGTGGTAAATATTTGAAAAGTAAATAAGTGATTCTAGTCTTTCATATGATCAAGATCAGATTTTACTGGTCAATAATTTCGGTTGTGATTGATCAATAATTACGTTTTTGACTGATCAAAAATTACGGCTATGAAAAAATATAGAGGATAATTTCACAACTTTTAGAAAAAGTCGCAAATATTAGCCAAATAAAAGGTTATTATCACTTATTTACTTCTCAAATGAAACGTTTCCCATATATATAATATTATATATGTAATTGATGCTCCCCTTATATCCAAATCATGGCTCCACCCCTGTTAACGGAGTCTTTTTTAACAGAGTTAGAGGCAGGACCAGAGCATTATAAAATGTAAATCACATGGACTTTTTCCATAATTATATAATCTTAGGGATGCATAATGTGATTTTGTGTAAACCATAAGGACCAAACATGTAGTTCACTCTATTTTTAATTTATTACATTTTTTAATTTTCAAGAAATAACTATAACCTTATGTAAAAGGAAGCGCCCTCTAAATTAAATCTCACATATGCCTCAAGAAAGAGTAAATATGGAATAACTATAACCATAACAATCACAACGATAAACTATAAGGATGGTGTTTGATTGGTTTGAGCTTGACTTCAAAGATCAAAAGTATCAGGAGGTCCTAGGTTCAAATCCAAGGAGGAATAAAAATCTCATTGTGGCCACAGAGGTTCAAATGCGGTGACTCTGAGCTATCTACAAAGCAGGTGGTCGTCCTGAGATTAGTCAGCTCGCATAACGGGTTGGATGTTCAGGTTAATTAAAAAAAACAATCACAACGATATATGAATATAAAACACATAAAAACTTAACTTCAAATTACAAATTTAACAAACATGATGGTAATAGAAACACCAAGAAATGAAATGAACACAACCAAAAGGATGAACTACTCATGTGAAATTGAATTCCTAGAAGAAAAAAAGGAATTTATGAAGAATGAATTTATAGCTAATCGTTTTGCGTCGGACTAGTTCGACCGGCATGTGTTCGTATGCAATCTTTTCTTGGCATTAGTCGTTTCCGTGCCTTAACTTGTACGACGTTCGGGTTTTCCGATGACTTGAAACTTCTAATCGCGTTTCCGCCTCTAGGAAATTGAATTCCTCCATCTTCTGGGGTTCTTTCTAGCCGCTTGTGCTACATTACTCTGATTTCCAACGTCGTTATTCTCCAAAGTACTCATCTTCGTCATCTTGCTCAGCTTTTTCCACCCACTCGTCCATGCCGACTGCTGTTTCGGCTTCGTTACCTTATCGAACTGTCTCTGCAAATTCTCCATTTCGTTTTGCAGTTCCAGATATTTGGTCTTCACCGTTTCCAGCTCGAATTTCAGTGTGTTAATGTCCTTTTTAGCAGCAGCCCATCCTTCTTGAAACGACTGTGGTGTTCCTTCTAGCAATGTTTTGCGGTTTTGAACCATTGGCTGGTAATGCGAATCGCCCGCGTTCGTGTCTTTAATGGAGGTGCTCGCGATGGCGTTGCTGATCTTCACCTGCTCCGAGAAAAGAACCTGCACCACGACTCTGAGCGGAAGCCGCTCGTTTTGAGCAGCGTGCATGCATGCGTCCATCGAGAGTTTCTGGCAGTCCATCACTCTACACAACCTTTTCCGTTCGTGCTCTGATAACGTCGGGTGAGCCTGTCACACACAAAGCCCGTCAGTAACATTAATTTATAGCTACATTTATCGGATTAACTGATAAGCTAGCTATATGCACATTTTTGTAGGGCAAATGGGATATATAAACCGGTCATGTTTGGTAAAAACCAACCGATAAAATAGATAATAATGTAAAATGATGCAAAAATACATGTTGAAAAATATAATTAAGGGTATAATTGGAAAAAAAAAAGGCTTTCGAACTTGTTGACGCGCTATTGCAATAGGGTTCAAAAAGGCTAGTTAGGTTATCGGCTAGTCAATGGCTAACCAAACAGGTCATTTTTAATAAACTCGAAGAATAAGTTAACTTACGTCTGTCAAATAAACATGTCTCGGATGTTACGTTTACAAGATTTATAAGTTTAGACTACCTTAAGATACGAATCGATTGCTCGATACAATCCATCGTCACAGCTTCTTGCAGATTCCGGCAAGGCCTCGGCGAGCACCTGAAACTTGGTCAAGGAAAGGTTTTTATCTCTCGAGACCTCAGTGAGGTAGCTATCGACGAGCCTAGCGACTCTCATTTTCGCATTCGAGTTACTACTTCGTTGAATCCCTTCGTACATATGTTTTTCCGTCACTGGCTGACGCCCGGGGCTCGAACCATCCATCTGTTCTTGAATCAAGAAATGCTCTAAAAGCCTTTGAACAAGATCAACATCATACATAGCTTCAGTTTTATTGTAACAAGGGATCAAAAGATCGGCCAACGTGGCTTGTTCGAATTGCATCCCGACCCGTTTTTCGAGTTCCGTAACCAGCGCCGGAGCCACCTTCAACAGGTTCGCCATTCGCAAAAGCTGAAGAAGAAAGCTGCACGAAACGCTATCTTTTTGCGGCGGGATTATGCTTATAAGGCTCTCAATGATCATTCTTTGATCTCTAGCTTGAGTAATCGAAGAATGATCCTCTTTATTTCCGGCAACGATCATGTGCAAACCACCTTTCCAGTTGCCGGAAACTGCCATACCGCCGCCACTACTACTTCCTTCTTCATTTAAACCGCCACCAGTCCCCTCTTTGATCAACCCCGGAAGCGATTTCGTGGCATAGTGTGTTATGGCGGCTCCGATCATTTCGTATCGCATTCCTTTTACTTTGATCGCAGTGATGACACGAACAAAATGATCGATTCTAAGAATCGAAACATCTTCATACCACCAATCAGGAGGAACCGGACTCCGGCTCGGACTCGAATCCTTCATCTCGTTCCAACTCGGGCTAGAAACCTTCATGGGTTTTCCGGTGTACTGCCACCGGATTCCTTTGGGATTGGCGCAGGCTTTCCAAGCGATGGATTCACTGCATCTTCTAACGATTTGGAGATTCTCCGCCCAGGGAGACAACTTTTCGCAACTTTTGAGCACCACAATCGAATCTCGCCATGAAGACAACACCACATAACTAAGAAAAGCTTCAGTTTTGAAAATGAGATTTCCTTCTTCTAAATCCTCCGTCATTTCCAGGTATTCAGCGGCGCACCGCAGGCCGGAGATGTTGGTGGCGGTCAGATCGACGGCAATCCCGTAGCAGAATTTCGCGGCGAGCTCGAAGGCTTCTGCACCACCTGGGATGTCATCCATGAGCACCTTGCTCAACTCTACTTCTCTTGAATCATATATTATTCTGTTCATTTTTCCGCTTCTTGAGAGCAGAGGATACTTTTGGACCACACAAACAAACAGACAAAATGATGAATTAATCAACAATTTCAGAACCCAAAACCAATGGATTTAGATAAAGCAATTAATACCTTATGCAAATGGAAACTAAAATCACCAATCAGAACCAAGAAATCACTCGGGATATCAGTTGCAACAAACCTATTTCCCCATGAAAGCTTGTTAATTTCATCTATCTTTTAAAACAACTAAAGAGATAAGATGGGTAGGTAAATAGTTATAGTACGTACCAAGATTTGCCTCTTTGTTCAAAGCGATCGGTCTGAACTCCATGTTTGTTAGACGAAAGAAGTCCATTATCATAGTCTCTACCTGCAACTGACTCACTCTCTGAATCCCACATGACGATGACACAAAAACCCAGAAAAGAAATCTGCTGGGGATGGAGATGGTGGTGGTGGTTTGAGAATAAAAGAAGTGGAAGAATGATTAAAAGGGAAGAATCTCACATGGGTTTTGGTTGGATTTATGGAAGAATGTGGGCTTGATATGCAGTTTCAAGAAGCCTGTCCAGGCTGTGAAGTAATGGGCATGGACTTGTTATTGGTGTTTTTGGAAGGAAAAAGAGAGGATTTTTGTCAGATTTAGAGCCCCTTTATGTTTCAATTACATTCAGACTCAGATGCAACAATCAGTCACTTCAGACTGCTGACCAACTAAAACACCCTCAACTCAAAGATTGCCTCACTTGTACTGCTTCCACAGATTATGGGATTCATTAATTATTACAACTTGTAACCAAACCAAACCTTCTGGTTTCTATCTTCAAACAATAAAACAAAACAGTTGTTTCCATAAAAACCCTTAACTTACGAGAAGTATAGAAGAGAGAAAGGATTTCCCAAAAGGAAAATAAGGAAAGGGCAGAAGGCTAAAACACCGCTAGTAAGGGTTGGTCTAATGGTTTTGGATGTCATGGACGGAAAGTTAAATAAATGTCCCTCTCTTCCTTTGCTATACTTTCATTATTTTGGTTTGATTATTGATTATTGTGCTTAGATGACGTTATTAGTAGCCGTTACTAACTATTTCTACCTAATCTTGATATTGGAACAAAGTTCTTTGATATTGGGGTTTTTATAGTACTCTATAGGTTTTGTAGTTAATATTCAACGTATATTTTAAACAAATTACACATCTGTTTTAGATAGCAAAACAAAATAGGCTCCATAGGGTCATAACATCCTAGTGGTTCTTAGGTCTCATACTTGATCTTCACATACAATATCCAGATTGCACCATTCACCATTTGACTTCGTCGCTTAGTGCTACGGTCAGGTGAAAAGAGAGCAAGCGACTAGCAACCCTTTGTATTCTTTCATTGTTCGTAGATGTGAATTCAAAACAAATGTTATATCTAATGGAGAACCCAATTAGAAATTTGAGTCCTATTGCAAACAACCTCAAGTTAGATGTTTCATCCACTTCTAGGAAACATATTTAATCAAATGGTCCAAATAAAGCAATCACCAAATAGCCAAAGTCTAAAAATCCAAATAACCACTAAAACAAATGAAATATCAACTAGGTTTAAGGATATCAACTAGGTTTAAGGAAATCACTCAGAGAAGCATTCAGTCATTCATATTTCAGCATATAAACATTAACATCAAGATTGCAATATCAAGAAATCAAGGAAAATAAGCAAATCATGAAATCAATAAACATTAAACATTAAACAACAAATCATATAACTAGGTTTTATATAATAAGATAAATAATAAGAAAGAGAACAACTGGAGTGGTGAGAAAGTCAGAGCGAAAATCAGATTTGAGGATAGAAAATTCTCATAAGCAGTCGTAGCCAAAAATCAGAGCAAAAATCCGATTGGTTGTGGCCTGTGGGCGTAAGACAAAGATGGTGGTCGACTTGCGTTTGATTATTGATTTATTGGTCTATTGAATTTTGAGATCTCGAGGTGGAGGGGTGGAGCGTCCTCTGTGTCCGGCGTTGTAGGTCAGTAGCCAATAGGTGTCGATCGAACTAGAAAGATTCAAGACCAATAATTGATAATATAGAACGAGCTTGGGCTAGATTCCCCTTAGGCTAAGGACGCCCTGGGCGAAGGCCCATGCCGCCCGTGCCCAAGGCCGGCCCTACCGCTAGTTTAACATAGGATTCAACTAACTTAGCATTCAGCTTACAACTTGTATTCAACCAAACCAAACAAACACGGTAAATCATGTTCGAAGTAGGGTCTAGTTATGGTAGTATGTATACTACACAAACCTTATCTTTGTTTTGAGGGATACAGAGGTTGTTTCCGTGAAGCAGGGGCGGACCTATAAATCTTTTCAAGTGGTGGCATCATTTGACTATAAGCAATAAATATGTCGATATTTTTCACAAAATCATCATTAGTTTGTTGGTTAGTTCATTGTTTTTCATATGTGAGGTCATGTGTTCAAGTCTTTTATTGCAAAAAATTTCAGAATCATAATAAATCTGAAATTAAAAACTAAAACTAAGAAAATGGTACTAACGGGATTCAAACTCAGGTCTGGGTGTAAGAAAAGTTTTGCAAAACTCTACCAAAGAAAACTTGTGTTCTCATTGTCGTTTTAAAATATATGTGGTGGCATTTTTATGACCCTGTAATTTTTTACACTACGATGGAGGAACGAAAAGGTGGCACGTGCAGTTATTGGGAAAACCAAGTACTCTCTTTCGGATTCAGGAAAGAACTCTCATAGATCTTTTTTCCTTTTGGAAGATACAAGAGCGAAATAATCAACCCAATTTGGGTTGGTAGTGAGTTGCATACTATTTTCTGGGTTGATGAGGTAGCTCGATTCAATTCTTATGAATTTGGAGATGTAATATCCTTTTATGCTACATTCCGAACCAAYAGGTTCGTATATGCTGCTTTATATGAAAATGGYCYTTTTTATAAATTTTAATTATTGACRTGTTTATTGTTTTAGACATTTCATGGTTTTTGTTTCCTTCACGTTGACAACCATAACTGCAATGTCGTTGTTGGATCAACTTTGGTTAGACATGAACATGTTCCAAATTACCAATGGYTACTGCAAGCATTTCRRAAAGCACATTCGAAGCCCCCTCYGATGATTCTTACCGACCAATGTCTTGCGATGAAAAAGGCAATTGCAACCGTCTTTCCCRATTCAAGACACATGCTTTGTATTTGGCACATTATGAATAAAGTCCCCAACAAGGTTAGRAAGACAGCAAACAACTTATTATTCTATTTCTTCTTTAATTGCTTACATATTTAATTTACTTGCAGTTTAGTTGTGATCTTCTTAATAACACCATGTTTAAGAAACAATTTTTCAAGCTGGTGTGGAACATTCACATATCCTTCGACGAGTTTGAGAGTAGATGGATGGTTCTTATCGAGGAGTTCTCTCATCAAGATCATATGTGGTTGAAAGATATGTTTGCTCTAAGATTCCAGTGGATACCCACATACTTTAAAGAGCTTCCAATGTGTTGCCTCATGAAGACAACGTACAGGTCAAAAAGTGCAAACTCATTTTTTAACTCTTTTTCAAAGAGTGGAAACAATCTTTTTCAATTTATGTTGGGGTTTTAATTTGTATTGGAGAAACAACGTAGGGAACAACGTCGTCTTGATTATCACACGAGGACTACCTAAATGGTTAACCTATAGCAAGTTGGAGAGGCACGCTTGTGAGGTTTACACGTGTTATGTATTTTCTGAGGTGCAAACTGAGTTACACAGGGCTGCCTGGACATGTTCAATTAAAAGTGTCAATGCAGACGAGGAAGTTGACACATATTTAATTGAACATTTAGACAAAAGAGACGAGAAAATTGCAGGGTATAAGGCATGCTTGCATACATAGTCATTTATTATTAGTTTTATATGTTATTGTTTTATTTCAACAACGTTTCGATTGTGATCTTAGTTGTTTCAACTTTATATTATGTACAGGTTGTTCGTAATTTGAAGGAGTCGACCATTGTTTGTAGTTGCAATCACATCGGTCGACATGGTTATTTATGCAGACATGTTGTTAAAGTATTGTTAAACGTCGGTGTTGAATCTATACCTGAAAAATGCATTTTGAGAAGATGTAGACGCGACCTTATGCCGATTGAACTTCAAAACAGTCGTCAAAGAATATGTGACGTAGGCGAGGACCAACATAAAATAATAAATGATACATATGACGTTATCGATGATATGTTGGACATATTAAGAGATGACAAAGAAAAACTAGAATAATTTATGGCTACAATTAAAGAATTGAAGAATGATTTAGCCAAAGATCGTACATATGAACCTTCGATGAAACGTAAAGAGCATGGAATAGAACAAATCCTTGGTTTTCCAAGACTCGATAACATTGAGATACATCCTGCTACCGGTATAAGGAACAAAGGTTGTGGTACGTCCAAAAGATTGATTGGTGTAGCTGAGAAAGCAACTGTGAAGAGTAGCCGGTTTGCATTTGATCGTTCCTCTATGTATGTATGTATGTATGTATGTATATGTGTGTGTATGTATGTGTGTATGTATGTGTGTATGTATGTGTGTATGTATGTATGTATGTATGTATGTATGTATGTATGTATGTATGTATGTATGTATGTGAATGTATAGATAACAACATGTGTGTTGTTTGGTACCCACATGCAAATAGGTAATAAGTAACTATTGGTGTTATTGGATCTTAACAAGTCATAAAAAGTCTTATTGAGCTAAAAGTCCCTCGTTGATCTGTCGCCAAGTGTTCCGTCGTTGATCAGTCGTTGAATGGTTCCCTCGTTAACTCGTTGTTAATATTTTGATCGAGATCGAGATAAAGGAGTTTGAGTTTGAGATAAATGAGCTCGTTAAAAGCTCGAATCGCTAATACCCTAGACCCCATGTTCGTAAAACGGTTTTGAAAAAGGATTTCTTTTGACAAAAATGGTTTAATAAGATCGAAAATCTTTAAGAAAGAAGAAAGGAAGATAATCACCAAAAACACACACACATCAAACATGGTTCCATTATCATTCTTTAAATTGATTACGTTTGTTAAAATCAGTGTTTTAAAAGTATCATTGTGACAGCATATCATGGCTCAAGACTCGTTTGATATCATGTTAAGCTCGTTGCACGCCTATGCTTGATGCGCCATTTTTGTAATGATGTATTTTTTAAACTCATAGTTATTGAATGTAGGCATAAAGTGTGATAGGTACAAACCTTGTGCAATACAGTTTGCTACAGTTTGAAGTTTACGTTGTGCGGTTTGTGGTTTAAGAAAAATGCTCAAACCGCATATATTGCTTGTAGTTTAACCTCGAAGCAGACCAAACCGCATCGTGAACAACCCGACATTATCCTACTTGTTACTATTCAC